ATGTCCTGGTATCTTTTATACAGTATCTGCCATGTTTCAAGTACAAAACATTGTTGATGTAATTGTATTGCGTGCATGCATGGATACCTAACTTCACTCTGTATGTTATACAGCTTTCTCAGTTATTATGAAATCTTCTGTTCATCATTTGATGCGGCTAAAATTTTCTTAATTTTTTACAGCTTATTTAATGTACACAACTGGGCCTAAAAATCACTGTCGTACCTTTAAGGGTACATTTACATTGTTTATACTTTGATAAACAAAAAATGTTCCTGCACAGAACCTTTATTTCTAACAGTGTGTGGTCGTATCCCAAATGGCACGTCTTCAGTTGGGAAACATAATTGTAGCATTTTCTGTTGCCATTATATTTAAGTTGCTTTAACTCCATTTACCCTATCTAGACTCCAGGCTTTATTTAATTTTTTTTTTCTATTTTAAAATGTTACTTTATGAAAAGGTACAAATATACATGTTTCCTCTTGGACAAAACTTATTTAAGGTACACCACTAGACCTTAATTGGTCTATCATTTGGACCATTATTGTACCTTTTAAGTAAATTTACATTTGTTTATACATTGGTGAACACGAATGTCCAGCTAATCGAATACTCCTGAGGAAGTTCGTTAGCTGGAGATTGCAGTTGGAACTAGACTTTACAGGAAGGTGGATCTACATGACCACGGTTTGTGACCTCAGTTATAACACACATCGGCCAAAATAGAGGAGCGAATATTGAGCGAATATCAGCCAATTCCAATTCTGTCCGATTCAGATTGTGCACCCCTACTTACTCCAGCTTTCACTCTGCTGTTCTGTATATATGTTTGTATGTATGTATGTACCTTGGAGAGATAGGCAGGCTTGGAGTGGCTCTGCATTTCTCTTCAGTCAGGCTGTTCCGCTTGGCCTCTGTAGCCTGCTGCTAAAAACTCCAGTGGGACAGGCCCTTTACATCCTCTTCCCTTCAGCCCGCACTTCAATCCTCCAGGGCCTGCGCAGTCCACCTAAAGCTAAACTCAGGGACAAGTTTAAAACACATTCATCTCTGATCTCTGTCCTCCTTCAGTTTGCATTCTTTGAGCAGATCAATGAATCAGGTTATTCAGAGTTGACATTCTGGCCATAAACTGCTTGATGTTTGAAGATGTGTCATTACTGTAATTCATGTCATCATCAGTGCCTGTAGCGAATGCCTCTTAGCTTGCGTCCTGTCTTTGCACAATGAACTTTAACAGATGTCACAAGAACTGACAGGCACAGGCAGTTTAGTTGAGTTTGAGCTAGACTTTAGTGATGGATTGATATGCCTCACGCATGTGGAAACTTCTTTGTACTTGTGGCTGCTTGCTGCCAAGTGACTGCCAAGCATTGGAAATCAAAACAGCTGAGCGTTCTGTGGTTGCTGAGCAAAGATTCTGGAAATGACATTTGGGTTTTGATTCGTTAGCGCCTCTCATGTTCTGGCTGGATTTGCACTGCATTCTATGCACTTCATTATCCTATTATTTATTTAGCAGCAATAGGATTATGTGCCCCTTTCTCTACTGTCACGTCTGTTATACAGTGTTACAACTATGTCAGGACAGGAAGCATTTATGGGGCAGATGTTCACTATATCAGTGCAAGGCTAGATAGTATGATTAGATGAGGAGAAAGTGGCGTCTTTAAGAGATTTCCCTCGAGAGCGCTTCCCTTTTCTCTCTGGATATAACAGATGACAACGGACAGGAGAAAATCAATACCCTGCTGTACACTGCTACTGGGCAATAAAAGGGAATATCCTCTCTCACTCCTGCTCTGTGGCTGAGAGACTCATCACACAGGAAGTAGGCTCAGCTGGAAGGAGCTGTGTGTGTTTTGGGCAAGTGGCTGAGAATTTTGCTTCCTATTGCTGGGACTTGAGTTTGGTTCCCAGCGATGCCACAGCCATCTGTTGTCTACAAAAGCGTAATTGATCTATCCATGCTGCTCCCATTAGTGCATTCTTTGTATAACAGTTCTCAGCAACTGTCGCTACGTTGCATAAGACAAATCCCTTCAAACAAATAAATATAGGTTGGCGTTTTATTAGCTGCATGACATTGAGTTTCCAGTTTAAAACGCTATGCTACTGAGCTGAACTCTGTTGTTGTAGCTAGTAAAAATCATGCAGGTTGGGATTTGCCCCTCATGTTAAAATTGGCTCATGGGGTAAACATGGTGGAAGGAAAAAAAAAACTACACCCAATCTATCCAGACACTGTGATAACTTGATTTACTTCAGCAAATTGAATGTCTTTGCTGTGAGAACATTTTAAAGAGCTGGGAGGCAACACTAACCAGGCACCGGACAACGGAGCTCAAAACCGGACTCTTTAGCATAAAACGAACTCCTGGCAACCCTAGTTAGACATACATAGATGGCACACAGACACAGAAGTAGAAGCTTTTTTTCTAGCTTTTGGCTTTAACAAAGCAAATAAATCTGCTGGACCTACAGAACTAGCTTGCTAACTGTCACTAACAAACTTGTCTTGCATTAGTCTTTTTAATCCAGAGGCGAGCTACAGCCTGTGGAAGATAAACTGGCAGTGTCTTACATTATCACAGGTAGCCTGCTTGCTTTACCTCACTTTTAAGCATACTTGACAGTCTTGAACATTAGAGTGGAGGTGGTTCAGTCTACTACAGTAAAGCAACACGAAAGATGCTGACAGTATATGGACTACATTTCCCATGAGTCTTGCCTGCGCAGGGATGTGAAGACGTGATTTAAAATATGAATTTACACTGAAGATCCTCTCTGTTTAAGCCATAGCTGTTTAAGCTACAACAAAAAACAAAGTCTGGATGTGTTAAGACAAAATGATTGAGGGGGAATTCATCCCCCTCCAAATATTACTTATGATCAAGCCTTTCCCTATAGGTTAGAGCAGAGAACTGCTGATTCAGTTCAGTTCAGTTAAAATTTATTTGTTCAGCTTTTTTCACAACAGGCGTTGTCCCAATGCAGCTTAACAGAAGTCCAGGTCCAGGCCCCAAGTAAGAAAGCCAAAGGCAACAGTGATGAGGAAAATCTCAGTAAGAGCAAGAGGAAGAAACCCTTAGAGGAACCAAGACTCGTAAGGAGAACGCAGCCTCTTTTAGTCGACACTGGAAAGCACACTAATAATTTAAAAAGCAATGAGAGATATAAAATGAATGAGTAAATGAGTGAGATATAAACATATGGTTACTGTCACCTTATATCTCCAAAATGGTAACTTTACAGGTGAAGGACAAAACATTCTTCACTTGTAAGGGAAGTTCTCATAACATTTTTTCAAGGAACAAGTCATTTTGGACCATTTCTATTGATCTGTTTATTATGAAAATTTAACACTATGCAAAGGGTAACTGGAGGTTTGTGTAAAAAAGTGAAAAAAAACAGCAAAAACAGAGATACAAGGTTTTTGCATGACAATAGTTTAATAATAAATGATGAATAAAGAGACAAAGTTAGACAGAAGTATTCAAATTAACCAATGACTCAGTTAAGGTTTTCCAAGGAGACTGAGCATGAGAATTTAATGTGTGATCATGAAGGAGGTTAGTATGAAGAGGTCCGGGACTCAATATAGTGTACAATTTCAGGGAGTGAACTTTTTAGTAAGTCCATGCAGGCATCAGCCATCATCCACCCAAACACAGAGACTAGCATGAGTTCAAGGTGAAGTGCTGATGGGCTGTCAATTCAGAGTGATCTGAATCATGCAATGTTGAGTGGCCAGCTTCACATGTCTTGGAGGTAGCACTCGTCAGCCCTCATCCTCCCTAATTGGTAGCACTAGCGGAGGTATGTTTATAGGGAGATTGACAATGACTAATATTGGGTATGGAAAAAAAAAAAGAAAAGAAAAAATAAGTAGTGTGTTTAGATTGATTTTTCCTAGAACAGCTGAGACAGTAAGCAGGTAAATAAATGGGCATACAGTCAAAGTTCTTCTGAGCAGGTCCTAAGTGCTAACAGTGCTCTGCATTGTTAATGCCATGCCAGATTTTTTTCTAGGTTTAGTAACTGTTAGCTATGGAAGATATATGGAGGATTAATCTCATTGTTACAGCACATGTTTGCTCAGGGCACTTTTACGAATTAGTAACATTCTAAAAAGGAAGTCATAAAACATTTGAAGGAGTCTAGTCTCCAACGTCAACAGTAAGGAAGGCCAACTGATCAGCAAAGCCATTCCACAGGGAACAATACAGCTTGGCCCTTTTGTTCTGCTCAAAGTGTAAAATATTCAAACACCCCATAAATACCCCATAATCATTCCCATTCTGGCAGAGGAAGAATGTTTAATATTGGCTCTGTACTGTATTATGATTGATAGGCACATTTATAGCCGTCTTATGTTTACTGGTCTGAAAGTCTGAAAATCAGGTGTGGTAGGCTGAGATGAATGTGCCATGGTCTTTCATGACGTAAGACAATATTTACTTACCAGCAATGTCTTGATTTTTATGCTTATTATTTTGGCCCCAATAAAAGATATGGGACATGGGTCTCTGCAATTGGCCAAGAATGTCAGACCCTTGCCACTTATTGCTTGTGCCCTCAGCGTTCCCAGAAATAAAACGCACTGCTTCTTGTTATCATCATATGCTGAATGATGTAATGGTGAAATCAGGATACAAGCAGGGTACATGGCGTGTGCCTCATAGTTGCACAAATTGTGCATGAAGGCTACCTGTGTTCCAAATTGCCCTCCTATGTTTTTCCATTCTCAGTTTACTCATTATTGCATGATTAAGTTGTTCTTTATTTTCCTTCAGTTTCACATTAGTAACACAGCAGTGGTCAGGTTATGAACAGAACCTGAAGCAGACGTCAGCTCAAGTGTTAGAAAATCACAAACCAACCAGAAAACTACTTTGGCCCCTCTTTCTCTAAATATTTCTCTTTGCTGTTGTTGTATTTTGCTAGTCAATTTGAGATTTTTGGCTCCATTGATTTCTTTCTCTCTGTGTTTTCAGAAAAAGAACTTGCGCCTGCTGCTAAGTGTGTTTCTGCTGGGATCCTGGGGGGTCTTCCTGCTGGCCTGCCGCCTCTACTGGATGGGCAACAAACCTCCAAACTTCTCCAACTCTGACAACCCTGCAGCAGACTGCCCCTGTTTCTTGACCAGGGTGCTAACGTTCTTCTTTCTGCCCGCCATGAATTTGTGGCTCCTGCTCTGCCCGGACAAGCTGAGCTTTGATTGGTCCATGGATGCATTGCCTCTTCTGAGGAGCCTCACTGATTGGAGGAACCTCCACACTGTGGCGTTTTACACTGGACTGCTGGCATTGGCATGGTTTGGCCTTTGCAGTCGTCCAAGCAAGGAGAAAGAGACCAATGGGAAGGCCCATCATGTAGCAAATGGAAAGTCCAGTACGAATGGACACAGTTATCACTCTGACTATGAACACTCCATTCCAGACTCAAACTCTGTGCAGACAAATGGGAATGGTACCAAAAAGCACTATTTAACCAGGACCTCTTTGCCCACTACTGAGAATGTAGTGGTCTTCTCATTAGGCCTGCTGGCCATCCCTTTCCTCCCTGCCACTAACCTCTTCTTTTATGTGGGCTTTGTGGTGGCAGAGCGGGTCCTCTACATCCCCAGCATGGGCTTCTGCCTGCTAGTGGCAGTTGGGGTGAGAGCCCTGTGGGTCAGACTAAGGAGGAGCTCCTCCAGGACGCTGGTGCTGGCCTGCAGTGGTGCTCTGGTGCTTCTTTTTGGGGTTAAGACAGTTCTGAGGAACCAGGACTGGCACAGTGAGGAGATGCTGTACAAGTCAGGGATAACTGTAAACCCTGCTAAAGGTGAGTTTAATAGACTGTCCTCTTTACCTCTGTGGTTTTGTAAGGTTTTGCAAGTGCATAGTGGTGGTGAATTAGCTGATATATGCAGATAAATAGGAAAATTTAATTATTCTTATAGGTTAAATATTGAAATCACAGCTGATAATTACAAATTCAAACTCATTTAAATAGAGAATACCACCGAACCACACTTTAAAGATCATAGGTTCATTTCCCTACCCAGGCTGGAACATCACTGCTATAAGAGTGTCTGTTAAATATGTACATGTTCACAATAACTGTTATTTCTGATTCAAAATATGTCAAATGAAATATGTAAAATGAGTTTTATGCTCACTGCACTTCATATAAACTACTATTCAAAAGTTTGGATTCACTCATCATTATTTCTAACAGTTATTTTATTCAGTATTAAGTTATGCAGTGTATATTTAAATACAGTAAGCTAGACATCAGAATATTTTAAGATGAATTCAATATTCAAAATTCAAAACGTTTATTGCTAACGCCATGAAATGATTAATATATGTAAATAATATACTGTTGTTATGTATGTATAGTAATTTATTGATGTTATCTGCCTAAGATTTCATCACCGCTTCTCAAATGCAAGGTATTCTGAATGATAATTTTATGACATTTCATATTGTACAGCTTTCTCAGTCACAGCAAAATCATCTACAGCTCTGTGTATCATTCTGGATGTGTCTAATATTTCTTCATTTTTTACAGTTTCATGTAAAATAGCTGAGATTTATGAAGTTGTAGAGTACTAAAGTATTGGTTTTATTTTATTGAAAACAATGATTCCAAACTTTGGAATTGTGCTGAATGAATTATAACTTTTAAAAGGTAAAAAAGTAACATTTGTATCAGCCGCCACAAGGTGCTAATTATCATTATTGACCCAGAATTTCATTGCAAGTACATTGCTACCTGATTTAGATCTGTTTCTTTTTGTTAACCTTCATGCTGGAGGATTTAAAGCTATTTTTGTGGTGTTTCTTTTTTGTTTAAGTTGGCATTTGCTTGTGATTTTTAGTTTTTTAGAAAATAGACCAATTTCAGGCTCTCTTGTGGACTCGGGATTGACTGACACTTGGTCGACTTTTGCCAAAAAACGTTTATAAGAACTGTCATTTTAGCAGTGTAATTCCTGAAATTCTACCCTTTCCTTGCTGTACTCCACACTTCTCTCTGTCAAAAAATAACATAAGTTGAAATTATTTGCAATTATCACATCTTCACAACTTGATCTGTCTCAGCAAGACTCTCTTCTAGGTGTAATTTTGCAAAGGTTAATTGCCAAAGTTAGCTTCTTAGAGTAGCTCCTGTTGTGAAGTGTTCAAAATGCACTGAGAATGATAGCTATTTTATACATTTCCCAGCAGGCCTCCCGTTCTCTCTTTTTGACAGATTGTAAGGGGATCAGGGCCATCAACTTGTTCACATGTACTCAATAATTATCCCATAATCAGTCATGTGGAATAAATGGAATATTCAGTTCCACTTCTAACACACACTCTCACACACATACACACCCACCCACACACATACACACCCACCCACACACATACACACACACACACTCACTCACTCTAACTTCTCTCCTTCTCTGTCACTCTAGTTTGTATCTGAAACATGTCAGCTCATAAAATATTCATAACATTAAATGCAATACCTTTTAGCTATAAACCAAAGACATGCATTTTTAATAAGACCTGTTAAAGTCCGAGTCAAGAATTGACTAAAGAGGACCACAGCTGCTTCAGGGCGAGTGTTAGAGTTCACTGAGGGAGAGCATGATAATGCACTTTTTTGGCGTGTATGTATGTTGCGAGTGAATCTGAAACATTTTTGCAATTTGATCAAAGCTTCATTTGATCACTTACCTAACGCAGTTTGGCTTAGAAATGACTTCTTGATGATCCAGTTTCACAGATAATGCTATTCATTGTACTGCTCTTTCTTTTCATTGTACTGTACTTGGGTGAGCTGCACTCTCTTGTCTAGGGATCAATATTAAAGCAATTTTACCAATGGTGCACTGTGAGCTAGGCCTTTTGTTCAGTCCAAAAGTGTCAGTCTGAGTCAAAATAGAAAAAAAGACGGAGAGAAAAGGCACCTCTACAGTAATGCTAACTTCTGCTAATCCCTTGGGAATCAGATTCTAGCTAATCATAATTCACATAACCATTTTTTTGGCTGTTCTAGATTAAACGAGGACTTTGGAAGCCTGTAAGGGACGTTCCATTTTTATTAGAAACTTGTAAAAGACTTATTAACATACATTTTACCTTGTAGCAGTTACAATGATTGAAAAGAGTCCTGCCTTCTGACAGCTCTTAGCAAGTTCATTGGTCAGGCTACCACTTGTGATGTCAGTGATGTATTTGGAAAACCTAGAGTGATGTTTTTGCTTGGTCCATTCCACACTATAAGTTCCTAATAATGTAAGTGTTTAATCTAATGCATTAGGCCTTCAGTTCAGGTCGTCCTGTCCTAATCAGTAAAGGTACTAGCTTCGCTGTATCCAGATACCGCAGAGACAAAAAGCACGATTGCACAATTTTCTGTTGGGTGTTGCAAGAATTTAAATCTTCTGTCTCCAACCAAACCTTAAGAATTAAGGAGAGTTTAAATACGACAATTATCTAGTTATATTAAGTGAAAGTGAACTAAATGAACAGCCATGTATGTTTATTTCAGGGAAATCATTAAGCCTTAAAGATTCTGAGGGTTCCCCTTGAAATGTATCCCTGTTAATATCCTGATCTCTTCAGACCAATAGATATGCTCTAGCCTAACAAAGAGGAATGTGATAGGTTGGGTTCTGCTATATAAAGTAAATCAGGTTGTTATTACCCTGGACAGATGGGCAAGACATGATGATATTTCTGTGTTTTCTTTAAAAGTGCTTAGTGAAAAATGTCAGACACGTTCTCTCTTCATGAAGATTTCAAACACTTTCTCTCTCCCCCTTCCAAAGCCTGGGGAAACCTGGGAAACGTCTTGAAGAACCAGGGGAAGATGGCGGAGGCTGAGAGAGCCTACAGGAATGCTCTGTACTACCGGAGGAACATGGCTGACATGCTGTATAATCTGTAAGTGCACACATCCTTTACGCAGCAGACACTGTTGGTCAGTCCCGCAGAGGCAACCCTGCACTGTAGAGAAATCCTCAGAGAAAGCCCCTCTCTAACTGTACCCTCATTAATCATTTGTCTGTCTCCTGCAGGGGGACTACAGAGACCTCCAGCATTCACATTAACCCCAAGTGTCAGTGAACCGATACCCGGAATTCATAACGTGCTCTGTGTGTTGATTTGCAGGGCTGTAATGAAACTAGGTAGTAAGGATTTTATACCACATGAGATAATGGTGACAAATCCCCTCTTCCAAATACATGATATTCCAAATACAGTGGATTGTGAATTTAAGCAATATAGCATGAGAGTTGGTGTATTTCCGCAAATAACGGCCTCAGCCTTTGATGCATCCTTGTGACCAAATCATATCCACGATGCTAAAAGTAAAGCAAATAACATTATTTTTTTGATATTGGTAGTTTCCTTCTCCAAAGAAGTAGCGTAGGTGGCTTTGAGTAAAGAGTCCCATTTTTGATTCTGTTAACCAGCAGATAGTGGTCATCAGAATAATACAGATATAGTTTTAAAAATATGAGTTGTTGTCTGAAATAACAACACTGGCGAAATTCTTTTCTAACAGTCAGATGTGTGGTCAAAGCTATTGCTATCTGCCCTGGTCAACTGTAAGTGCTATTATTGTGAAATGGAAGCATCTGTGATCAACAGCAGCTCAGCCATGACGCGGTAGACCATGCAAACTCAGAGTCAGGAGCCGCTGACACACTTGGCCCATAAAAATTGCCCATCCTCCATTGCATCACTCTCTACAGAGTTCTAAACTGCTTTTGGAAGCAAGATCAACACAAAAACTGCATCAGGAGCTTCATAAAATGGGTTTTTGTGGCTGAACAGCTGCACACAAACCTGAGGTCACTAGACACAGTGCCAGGCATCGGCTGAAGTGGTGTAAAGCACCTGTACTCTGGAGCAATGTGTTCTCTGGCGTGATGAATCATGCATCCCTATCTGGCAATCTGGTGTTTGGCAGATTTGGTGGAGAGGGGCTGATGATCTAGGGCTGTTTTTCAGAGTTTGGCCTAGGCCCCTTTCTTCCAGTGAGGGGTAATGTTAATGCATTACAACATACTGAGACATTTTAGACAATTATATGCATCAAACTTTGTGGCAACAGTTTAGAGAAGGTCCTCTCCTGTTCCAGCATGGCTGTGCCCCTGTGCACGAAGCAAGGTCCATAAAGACATGATTCAACGTGTTTGGTGTGGAGAAACTGCAGCAGCCTGCACAGAACCCACACATCATCCTCATTGAACACCTTTGGGATTAATTGGAACGTTAATTGCAAGCCAGGCCATCTTGTCTAACATCAGTGCCTGGCCTTACAAATTCTTTTTCAGCTGAATGGGCAGAAATTCCCACAGACACACTTCAAATTCTTGTGGAAAGCCTTTCTAGAGGAAGGGAGGCTGTTATAGCCAAAGAGGAGCCAAGTTCATATTAATGCACATGGTTTTGAAATACGATGTCCAGCAAGCTTATATAGGTGTGGTGGTTAAGTATCCACATACTTTTGGCTGTAACGTGTATAATAAACGTGAACCTAATTACAGCTGTTAAGTTTGATATAAATTAGTAGTTTGGCTTGTACCTCGGCCCAAGTATTTCTTTGTGCCGTCTGCTGAGAAAGTCCTGGGTCACCTGTATTTTGAATGAAGGAAGTTGGATAAATAAACAGTCTCTCTGTAGGTTATTAATTAACGTTGGAATTAGGCACGTGTGTTTTATGGCACAGAGCCAGCAAACTCAGGCTTGCTACATCTGTCAGCACTGAAAAAGCCCCATTTTTAGATCAGTAAAAAGACCTGCAATGTATGTGAATGCTGCCAACTTGATTAGCTCTGAGCTGTTGCTTCTTTCTGTTATTATTCTTTTCTGTCTCAGGGGTCTGCTGCTACAGGAGAACAACAAGTTCTCTGAAGCTCTCCACTACTATAAGCTGGCCATTGGGAGCAGGCCAACTCTCGCTTGTAAGTGCACTGTCTCTTTTTATTGACAATTTCAAGCTCCCACAATCGTGACTGTGTCCAGGCAACTGTAGATTGCACCGTGTGTTTGTGTGTGTGTGAGTAAGTGAAAGTTTGTGTGTGTGCTTGGCACTATTCCAGCATTATTGAATAAATGACTCTGCCTGGATTTCTGGATACTCTCTCAAATCCCACAATGTCAACACTTAAACAAATTATGTTTGATTCCAGTTGAATCCAGGTCAAAAAGTCTAACTAGTTTGGCTTGCTGTACATGCTGTTGCCATCATGCAGGCCTGTGTTAAAACAAAGTACCCTTGTACTATTTTAGGACAATTATAGGATTCTCACAAATGTTCTCCTAAAGTTCTCTGCATTAGGAGGGAACTATCAGTATGGCTTATAAAAAGATTATTCTAAGTTACAAATCTTGATTCCAAAAAGATGGAACAGTATATGAAATGCGTATAAAACCAGAAAGCAGTGATTTGTAAATCCACGTTGACCTAAATTTAAACAAACATAGTAAAAATACAAGTTATTTATTGTTTTACCTTATGAACTTCATTGTTATTTGTTAATAAACATTTTTAAAACAATTTTAAGTGTTGATGTCTGCAGCATGTTCCAAGAAGCTTGAGACAGGGCCAATAAGGACTATGTTCAAAAACATCTTAAAAAGGTAATACAATCATGCTTTATACAAGGGTGTAAAAGGAGTATCTAGGTAAGACCTAATCCTTTATGAGTAAGGATGTTTCAAGGCTTGCCATTTTGCCAAAAAACATGTACATAACATCATCAAAAGAAGCGTGGAATCTAGAGCAATTTCTGTTTGGCAATCCCTCAGATGGTACTGCATTAAAATCTAGCATGCTATTGTGATATCTTCACATGGGCTCATTGCTGCATCCATGAATGCAAGTTAAGACTGTACTATTTACAGTAGAGGCCATATGTCAACAACATCCAGAAACACTGCTGACTTCTCTGGGCTTAAACTCATCTGAAATACTGATGCACAGTGGAAACATGTATTGTGGTCAACCTTTCAGAGTGTTTATGGAAATAATGGATGTTGTGTTCTCTAGACCAAAGAAGAAAAGTGTCATCCAGAGTGTTACCAGCGTTACCAAGTTCCAAAGCCAGGTGTTGTCATGTTATGGGAGTGTATTAGTGGCCATAGCATGGGTAACTTGCACATCTGTGAAGGCACCATTACCACTGAATGAGAGATAACACAATTTGAAGCTACATACGCTCAACCTGACAACAGCAAGCCACATTCTGCATGTGTTACAACAGTAAGGCTGTGTAATCAGAGCAGACCTATCTCACATTGAAAACGTATGGTGCATTATGAAGCGCAAGACATAAAAATGAAGACTCTATATGGTTGCCCAGCTTGAAGACTTGTATACAAGAAGAACAGCAAAAAAAAAAATTCAGCTTTCAGAACTGGATCAATTGGTGTCTTCAGTCTCCAAATGATTATTAAGTTTTGTTAAAAGGAAAGAAGACTTAACATTCTTCTGTCTCAAGTTGTTTGGAATGTGTGGAATGAACATATATTTACAAAAATTAATAAATACATAAATTCATGAGGTAAAACAACAAATAGTGTTTCTGTACTGTTTTCAGTTTCATACAGGTCAAACTGCATTTACTGATCACTGCTTTCTGATTTTATCAACGTTTCACATACTATCCAAACTTTTTCGGAACTAAGTAAACGTAGATTGGGGGGGAAAAAAAAACTTTAAAAGAAGTGTATATTTTATTTTCAACGCTATGGTTAATACTGTGTTCTATTTAATTCTTTTTTGTGCTTGTAGTCCTGCTGTACCATAATTTTAAATGCAGTCCATTTAAAAACCTCTGAATATAAACACGCTTAGCACTCCTTCCACACTGCAAACAGTGCTACTGAAAGTTCCCAAACTCCACTCTCATGAGAATTAGAGAAGTAAAGAGGGATCAGAATTGATGAGTAGCCTCGAGGAGCATAGGCTGTGACTAATTTATCCAATCCTCTGCAGAAGGAGACCAATAACAAATATAGTAAATCAGGATTGCGGTTGTGTGGTCCATCATGGCTGTCAGATACTATCCTGCCAGTGGAGTCAATACTTCTCGGCGGTTTCACATTTGATTCCAGCCCCTTGAGTGGTGAATATGTATTGGCGCCCCACAGACCAAGCTGCCAATTCATCTGCAGCAATCAGCAGGGGACCTTCCCCGAGCCCCAAAGAGACTAATTACCCTAACCCTGTATGCTAATGGACTTTTACACTTCATTCTCTCTCTCCTTGCTCCTCTCCCTCTCTGTTTCTCTCCCTCTGCATCACGCCCTCTCGCACCCTCAGCTGCCTACTTGAACACAGGGATCATCCTGATGAACCAGGGCCGTCTGGACGAGGCTAAGCGCACCTTCCTCACCTGTGCAGACATCCCAGACGAGAACCTGAAAGATCCTCATGCACACAAGAGCTCAGTCACCAGCTGCCTCTACAACCTGGGCAAGCTGCTACATGAACAGGGCCATCAAGAGGTGAGCTGAGAGCCAGGTCATCATCACAACAGGTGCATTTCCACTAAACTAAAGGATCTATTCTGAACAAGAACGACATAGTTATTGAAAGGGTTCTTGCTTTGCAATTGCAGTGCAAGAGCCATGGCCATTATGTAACATCACCACCTGTTTGTTCACCTATTTGAGCCACTTTTGTTCAGGTAGTCTTTGGGTTGTGGTACTACCAAGCTGGGAGGGTGAAGGCTAGCGCATGCATCCTCTGAGACACACAAAATCAGCCGGCATGTTTTCAAACTACCGCTAACGCAACTTTGGTCAGCTCAGCATGCTTGGAGGAGAAGACTAACTGCCAAATTATGCCAGCTAACAGATGTCCACATTGGCTCGCATTGTGCTGAGTAATGGGGGGGCCTTATTTACCCAAGGAGAGCAAGGCTAATGATGGTCTCTTAGACTCTTGGCTGTGGCATCACAAGCGAACAAGCTTGTGATCTGACGATAGGGCCAGCACTTGTGACACTCATGAGCCCCATTCCCACTCTTTTTGAATGTCTTTCAGCAGTAGATGCTTCTCAATAATCATCTTTATTAATCTGTGTTTTCTTTTTAATCACATTTTTAATGTGGACATCCTCTCATTTGCTCTGCTGGTATCTGCAACAACTGGTTCATGCATATTAAAATGGAGGAAAAGCAGCTTGTGGAGCTTGTATTTGAGAATCAGAAGCATTCAGTCTGGCGAGCTCCAGTCCGATATGTCCTGGGCCCTTGTTACTCCCATGGAAACTGGAATTCCTAAAAAAGTTCCTTGTTCCTGGAAAGGTTCCTGTGGTGGAAAATGCCCTAAGGACCCAATATTCAATACACTGTCTTTCTCCATAGAGACAGTGGGTTATAAGTGATCTTGGCTTATAGAGGCTTCTTGTTGTGTGTACTGTTAATGAACTGTTCCATGTTGCTGTTGCAGGAGGCCCTGTCTGTGTATAAAGAAGCAATACAGAAAATGCCCAGGCAGTTTGCTCCTCAGAGCCTCTACAACATGATGGGTGAGTACTGTCTGCCAGGAATATGGATATTGTGTCAGGGTGAGGTATTGTTTTGTATTTGGCATTTTATCTTGAGGTCTGCGTGTGATAAAATCGTTACCTGGTAAGTTTGCCTTACAGAGTGAGTTTGGAGAACTTTCCTGGATCTATATTATTGACTTGTCCAAACTAGCATGTGTGTAGAGCAGGTCTTAGTGTGAGCATTTCGATTCAAAGTTTCAGATAGTGCAGTTCATTAGAACTTTTTTCCTTTTAGATTTTTTTACTTTGGCAATCACTTTTGCAGTCCGCTGCAGTAGCCTGTGTAGGTCTTTTATTGATTACTTCTTCCAAAATATGGAATATCTCCTTCTAGTTCAGATGCGAGCCCGTTTTGTCTTTATTTTGTCTTTCTATCAGTCGTCCCCTCTTTCCAATCTATGTGTGTGTTTTCTCCTGTGTGATCCCTCTGTTCTTTTGGCTCTTCTCCTCATGCTTTTTTCCGCTCTTCCTTGGGCAGAATTCCCAAAAGACCCAGAACAACACACTCTACGCCAAATATCACTGAAAAGAGTACATGTTGTTGAGAATATGCCAAAGTGTTGACTATTCTGCTTATCAGGCCTTTAAATTTTCCACCACACTTCTGTACTCCTCTGTCTAGTGTTTAGACATGATTCTTCTCTGTTTATTTGAAAAGGTCTAATTCACTGAAGAGGTTCTGTATGGATGTCCTCTTACTTCACTTGATAAATATGTCTTCCAGTAAATGCTATTATTTTTCATCCTTTTACCTCTCCTGTCCAAACCACTCCCTGATTGCATTGTTCTTGTGGGTGCACACAAGTGGTCTGGGTGGAATTTCAGTGTTACTCAGGTTTGTTTTTAAAATTTCACTCTCTGAGCTGTGCAGGGGAATGAGTTCTGACTGCATGCAAACGTGCCTTTCAGCACTATAGAATTTGAATAATTGAATCTGAGTTATAACTCTCCTGCTGTAAGGCTGAGCTCAGGTTAGCACACTGAGGTGAATTTCTACTCTCACCCCAATAACTGCTGCCTTGCAACCACCCAACTACACTCATGTGTGACTGTGAGGTGTTAAATATGATTACAGTTAAACAATTTACAGAAAGTATTTGCTATTGTGACTGCATACAATGTAATAAGGAAAAAAGTGTGTAAAATAATGAGCTGTCAATCAGTGCTCAGGTTAAATCAGGGTTTAGAAAAAAAATTACAGAATGTGTATATAATGTGATGGTCGTATAGACAGTAGATCCATAATGATAAATAGAGTAATGGATGATTTATGAATGATTGAGAAAGTTGCATTAAGAGTCTTATAATCTTATAATAAAATAAATAAAAAATACATAATAAAAGTTTAAGGCCATCTCTGAAGATGTGCAAAGCTGGGCAGTAAGCAATTATTTGTTTGAAAAAATACTAACATTAGGATGAATACAAATAAACAAGCATTACGATTTTATGTCCGCCAGTATCTATTAGCTTAACCATTTTGAAACCTCTGCAAACCGTCCAGTACATAGTTCAGCTAATCAAAGCTTTATTAAATTAATAGGAGTTTCCTCAGATTTAATTCCCTGCCTGGGCAAGCAAACCACATTATACCAGTAAGTGATTTTGGGCAATACTCCTAATACTACATTCACCTAACACTGTAAAATGATTAAACTGTAAGTCAGTCCTGATAAGTGTCCACTAAATGCCATAAATGTGCATGCACATGTAAATCAGAATTAAACACCAAATGAGAATTTAACAAATCCATGCAATGGCTGGAGAGAAACCAAACCTGTGTTCTTTTACGTGTATTGTTCTAACCAATTTATTAATAACTCTTTTAAAAATAAGAAAGTTTTGTGACTTATGACTGTGTTTATGCTTATTTGCATTGATGTGTGTATATATTTGTGTGTATCTAATGCTATTACATTTTTTGTGGCAAAAAACTTAAATAGTTTTAAACACTTTAAATATGATGTGTATACACATTTATGTTGTGTGCACATATTAAAAAATATATCTGTGTGTGCGGATGACCAAACACGATGGATAAGTATCGTACCGTCACTTCATTTTCCTGTAAGGTTTAACTAGTCCTTGCAGTAGATTCCAGTAATTTCAGTAAATAGGACATATAAAGATTTCTCAGCATATTACATTGCCAGCCATTCTTCTGTGATAATAAGTGTTCTCATTTTTAAAATGAAAAGGACTAGTTCTTGAACGGTTTGATAGATGAGTGACCATTAAATCATTAAAAATCCATCGTTATTTGGGGAAATGATGTGCTTAACTGTTATCGAATGCAGCTGTTAATGTTTTTGTAAGTGCGTGATTCATGCACATATAATCTTCACCTTTGGGTATTGCAGAGCAAATTAATTCATCTTAATTGGATGAAATGTCTTATTACGTCAAGACTAAGAAGGTTAAGATGTAATCAACAAGCCATCTGCAGCATCTCTAGTTTCTTCCCTTTGCAATAATAGACAATAATCCCTTGGTTATTTTAGCGTCAGTCTGTTTGTCTGGGTTACACGTTTTCGTACTGCTCAATGGAACATGGGGTGCGGATTGGCTTGTGATCCAGGGTACAAGGTTAAGTGAAACTTTAGCTTAGTCGCAGACCCTATCGTTTTATTATTTTTGCAGTAATTACATTAAAAACATTGTTTTGGCCATGTTGTCCTAGTTTAGTAGCTGTGCCATCAGGTTCTCCATAATAATCCAGAAAGTGAGAGCAGGGTATTATTATTGCAGGTGCTGGGCCAGCTTTGAGGCCGGTGTCAGATGATATGTGAAGGATCAGAGCGCGTGTTTTTCGTCATGTCATAAAGAGAAGCCTTTAAGTCTGGTGTTCTAAGAGCAGGGTTAGCCCTGGGCCAGGCCTGCCTCCATTCCAGCCCCACAGTGGACAGTTACACTGAGGTCACTGTAAATCAAGCTGCAATGGAAATCACCCATCAGCTCAATTCCTGTTCTTTTTTTTCTCCTACTCTCTTTCGCTGATTGATGGTTTAGGTTTTGCAGAGGTGGTGGTCTTTGGTTTTGAATGTGTTGATTAAATTAATTTATAGCAGTAGACATGAAAGTCAAAACGGACATGTGAGTCGAGTGTTGTGGAGTTGATGTCAAAGATATTTGAGTTTTAATAGTGTTGCTGTTTGATGTTATTTTCGCGGCATAATAATTGCTGTCTGTTGTGACGTTGCAGTGAATTTTGATTGGAGAAGAATGTCACAGTGGATTTAGTGTAAAAGAGAATGCTAAAGGAACGCGTTCTCAAGAAAGTTAATTTATTTGCTGATTTTAAACACTGACAACCAAAAATAATCTTGCTATGTATACATTTGGGACAAGCGATGATATCGTTGAGCAATCATATAAGCGTTGGAGATGAGTAAGGATTTGGCCAATATTTCAGATCAGTGTTTGTTGACTTATTGATTAAATACCTGTTTGTACTCCAGAAAATGTAGAATGTTTACATGACATTTGGCTACTATGCTATATCATCTGTAGAAGTCAGAGACCACCCTTTAGCCTTGAGAGACTGGCCATTAACTCTTGTGTGGTGTTCAGGTTTTTGTTACTTAGTGGGTCTGGTGAACCCACCGCATTATTGTTTTGTTTTTTTTTTAAATCAGTACAGCCAGAACAATTTATGTAAAAAAAAAATGTTTAAAGTATCACATTTGGTGTAGGGGTGAACAGTGTGAAGTCACTGAAAATGTGTTATTTTATATGTTCCTCACAGAAAATGAGCAAAGGCCAAGGAATCTGAGGTTGCAATAATAATAAATTGCATATTTTTTCTTTTGTTAAGCATTGAAAATGCATCCCACAGACCTGAACACCACACAGTTTCTTTTTTTTCTTTTTCTTTTTTTACTTTCTTAAAGAAGTGTTGAGTTGTCGTCTCAGAATGGAGGGAGGGATGGACAGAAGCACCTGTGCATTTTTTCAGACCTGAAGCAAAAGTGGAGTTATTCTTTGTATGTTTTGTCTGTAAATTCAGTAAATGATGTGATCTCTCACTTTTGCATAGTACTGAATGTAGATTGATAATATTGGCTTTCAGCATCGACATATGATTCCCGTATCGGTGCATTTTTAATTTTAATGGTGTTCATGTGCCATTAGTGGCCTTTTAACTGTACTGAAACAATGTTCGACTATTCAAATACTAATCAAATTGCATGTTAAGTACTGATTAAATATTGAAAATTACCTAACTGGGTCAGTGTTGGTGACGTGAGAAGCCAGATGGGCCAGTTCTCTTAATATTGTGCTGTTGATTGATGTGAGTTGATTTTGTATGTACACTGGTAAGTAAAAAAAAAAGGCTGTGACTAGACTGAATTCTGATTGTACTCCAAAGACTATTCAGTTTAAGTGGTCGGAATGCTGCTGGATCACATTTCCCGGTCATCCTGACTTGTTGAGGGTCACTTTCGGATGACTGCCTCCCTCATGTTATAGGATCTCACAATAAAACAAAGGGGGGATGTGTGCTTCCATAACCTCTAACCTGCTGACCTGACCTCTGTCTTCGCCCCTCACAGGAGAGGCCTACATGAGGCTGAACAAGCTGTCGGAGGCCGAGCACTGGTACAGGGAGTCGCTCCGAGCCAAACCAGACCATATTCCAGCACACCTTACCTACGGCAAGCTTCTGGCTATGACGGTAAGAGCAACCTCCCTGACAGAAACTTTTGTTTTTGGCCGAGTGACCTCTGTGGAAGGTGCACACTCAGGTTCCTTAAGGACAGAAAGAGTAACATTTTTTTTTCCTGAAGTTACTGAAAAAGTGACAAGTATGCCTGCCATGCCAGCAGGTCTGAAATCCCTCAGAGAAAGCAGAGTGGACAGTTATGATAGGAGACGTGTTCAGACAGGATGAGGCTCTGAATCTTTCATTCTGGAAGTTCTTGCTCTGGCATGAGGAGGATATATTCTAGCTTTCCTGCCCCCTGTCTCCTCTCATTTCTAACTTAATCATGTGGCCCTGTTCTGAGCTGCCTCTCCCTCCGTCCCGCTGTCCCCTTCAGTAAATGAAAGAAAATCATGGTCACCTTCGTTTACCATCTCCCAGAGTGGAGCAAGCAGTGCAAGAAGAGCAGTGAGCTTTCTGAATAGGGTTTTGTTCTGAACTGGGCAGCATTAGCACTGAGTAATTTAAGAGAAACAGATTCCAAAACAATAGTCATCTTAAAAAGGAAACAAGATATATGGTTTAGTCAGAGATGAAGAAATGATTGACAATCTGCATGTAACACTGCTCCAGCCTTCATTTCAGCTCAAAGCCAAACAAAAGCCATACATTTTTGCTTCAAATGTTTGTTCTTTTTTTCCTTTCTGTAGCTCAACTGGTAGATTAAGGTCATGGGTTTGATTCTCAAGGAGCATATATACAGAATGGAAAAAAATATGCCTTCCTTCTACTGTAAGATGCTTTGGATAAAAGCATCGGTTTAATAAATACAAAGTTATACAAGGTTGTAACAGTAGTCAGGTCAGTGTCGGTTATGGTCATGTCAAGTACTGTACAAAAATTAAGCACCTAAGCAAACCTTTTTAAAAACGTTTGTGTGGGGGAAAAGGTGTATTTTTGCTGTAAAATAACATACATCGTCAGAATAAATGCAAACAAACCGTAATGCAGTTAAAAGTAACTCATTTTCAAAAAAGTAGCTTAGATTAAGTGTGCTGATTACAAGCATATAGATATCATTCCAGATTTCTTTAGGATGCCCACTGCCATCACATAGATTGTTGAATTCCATCACCAGCACACCTAATTTAATGAAGCATTGATTGGGCTAAACCAAGTATTAGATGATAATTACAGTTAACAGTGGTCTTCCACAAAGAAGCCATTGAAAATTAAGTGAACACATTACCATATAATAAGTTGTGGTTTTATGTGTTACTGTTTGTTTGTGTTTAATATTAATATTTTTCTGACCAAATAATGCTTACTGCCAGATAAGAGTTTTTTTAGATGGCTAACACTTTTGCATTGAGCTGTGTATGTTTTCCCATTTGATACTAGATGTAGGTCTTTTGTTGACTGATGCAGCAGTCCCCAAAATAACATTTCTCAGACATACAGCATATCAGAGCTAATGAAAGATAGTGACCAAGTTCTCTGAATGATGCCTTTTGGGGAATACAAAAGCGAGACCAGCTCCTTCCTTCAGAGGACGATTTCCCTCCCGTTCCGCACAAATCCAGTGAAGTGAGGAGACATTGTCTCGGCTTCAAAGCTCAGTATTGATTTGAAAGAAAGCATGGAGTTCAAAGCTTGCAGCTTCAGCCATTTGCTGTTGGCTGTTTGTTGCAGAAATAGTGTGGAGAGGGGCAACCTTGAAGCCCACTGTCCTCTGGGTGTAAACAAAGCCACCTCAGAGCCAGGGAAAGACCTGAGAAACAATCTGAACAAGCTGTGTTCACTGACCTTGAAAACTCTCAAGAAGATACAGAGAAAAGTTTAATGTGTTTTTGGAAAGTGTGTTCAGGTGTGTAATGATCACGGCTCGGGCATTGTGGATTCTACACTGAAAAAATAAAGAGTTCTTTGGGGTGACGCCATAGGAGAACTACTTTTGGTTCGCTAAAGAACTTTTCAGTAAGTTTGGTAAGTGAGAAGTGTGAAGAACCTTCAAACACTTGTAAAGGTTGAAGGTTTTTCCTTGAACCAAATGTCCAGGTCGGGAACCATTTCAGAACCGATATTTTTGCAAGTGTAGTCAGTTTCAGCTTAGAGAAGCATTTTTTGTTTGAGAGAGTCTTTAGATGTAATTTCTGCTTACCATTGTTTTTCCATAATTCCCATCCGTTTTTGCTTACTATTGTTTTCCCATAATTGGAAATGGATGTATTTTCATAATTGAGAGGCATGCATCAAAGTGGCAAAGCTCATTGTTTGTCTTGAGCGTGGTTGAAGCAATTGTGTATTCATTTTCATTCCTCATACACTGAGTTATTGGGTGAAAACTGTCAAATGTGAATATGACGGCCAAAATAAACATATTACTTGTTACAATATGTTTTCATGTAAAACAGTGGATAAGGCATGGAAACCATTACTGAACACTTCGAAAGCTTATAATTCTGCTATGAGGGCCTTTAGCAGAAGGTTGTCTTCTGAGACTGACCATGTTTTTTTTAATTATTTTCTACATTGCACATCAAGGCTGCTAAAACAACAGTGTTTCAGGTCATCTGTGCACAAGCGATATTAACTGTCATTCACTATTTGAACTAGAGAAGCAAAAAGCCCCCCCAGCCTGTAATATGCACACACGTGCAAACCCGCTGAGTGATGAGGAAGCGTTTGTTCTGTCAGTGTCTTTGTGTCCAGGGTTGAGCTGGAAGCGGGGGGTAGGGGGAGATGTGGGCGGTCAGGGGGCGATGCAGGGTGACGGGATGAAAATCAGCCTTTTCCCCTGCTGAGCTGACCCTCCTCGACCTGTGCACACCCACCCCTGGGGGTCACGGAGCCCAGCCCCAGGGGTGTGAGAGAGCTTCTCGAGCACGTTATTGAATTCTGTCATTTCCGCAGCTAATCAGACTCAGACTCTATTCATAAACACCTCAGAGAGGCCAGAACAGCAGTGTGTCTGTTAGTGGTCTGATGTCACGCTCAGATTAGGGGGTCAGCAGAGTATGCATTGAGGAGGTGGGGCAGGATATTGCTTTAGAGTGATAACATGAATATGAGCACTTGGCGTCAAGACATCATATTGAATGACATGAAACTATTTTTTTGCTTGTAAAGGCTGCGATTTCATTTAATCTTTAAAGGTGAAATACCAAAATGTGTCTCTTTCTGACGTTTAATTTGCTCTTCTCTTTCAGTAATGCAACTTCTCAGTGCTGTTGTTGCATTTATTTAATATGAAAAGAGATTTTTTTTGTTTGTCTCACAAACTACATCTTAGAACAAGAAAGCGCATGAATAGAAGTGTCACACTTTAGTTGCATTTTATCACCACTCTGATTAAACAAAACAGTAACACAAGATTACCGATCTGAACTGTCCGGTAAATGAGCTCACCTGTTCGCTTGAAAAACTGAGCGCTTCCAATAATTAAGGAAGACTAATGGATCTTTTATACAGTGATAGAAGAACAGTAACACACTGAAAGTACATATTCTTCATGCTGTTGTATTTTACTGTGGCCAAACATGAACATTCTCATGCAATAACTTGTCTGGTGGCAGATCTCAATGAAGGTAATGGGTCTGCAGATTAGTAGAGTGGATTGCTGGCAAAATGCTCAGTTTGATGGGGTTTAAGTTGTACTAGGCAGTGTTCATATCCCGTTGTCATTGCATTACTATATGTTAAAAGAAGGTTTTACAGATCTAGAACAGTATTACTTGATTGGTCTGTTTTGTCCTTTTTTCTTCTCTTCAAGTCTTCAGCGCCCCTGTTCTACATTGTTGTTGCATTTTGACTTTTTTCAGCTTATGTTTGTGTGGGTTGATGCATCAGACAGTTAAAATGAATTTGACCATTTTCTGACATCTCTTCATCCTTTAGAATGAAACATGCTGATTTATGTTGTTGTGACTGATATATGTAAATGAGCTCCATTCTGATTTGCTGCCCTGTACTGTTCCTCATTCAAAAAGCAGTCTGGCCTGAAACTCTGATTATACACATTATATATATATATCATTATATATGTCCTATATAGTGCTCCCATTGCCACATAGGCACACTCAGCTTGTATAATCTCCATAAAAAAGCATTGCCAATAGAATGGGATGCTCTGGAGCAGCCGCACAAGAGCCTAAGGTCACCATGTCCAATGCCGAGCATCGGCTAGAGGGTTTATAAAGATCCCACAATTGAGCTATGGAGCAGAGAAACTGTTTTCTTGAAACTCCATCCAACACCTTTGGGATGAGTTGGAGAAAAGTTTTTGTCCCAGAACTAATCATCCAACATAGCTGATCTCACTGATGCTCTTGTGGCTGAAAGCAATCAGATCCTCACAGCAGTGTTTCAACATCTAGTGTAAAGCCTTCCCAGAAGATTAGACACCGTTACTGCAGCAACTGGGGACAAACTTCCTATTAATACCCTTGATTTCAGAAGAAACACTTATAAACTGCTTTAGGTTGAATAGGTGGATCTGTGTAAACGTGTTGTTGTTTTGTGGCATCACAGCAACAAGAAAAACAAAAAAGGCTATTTTTGCAGCTATGTTTCTTATATTGACTGAATGGACTGGGGAGTGAACAATGTTTTGAAACTTTAGCAATATTTCTATACTGCATAAAACACTCCTGTTTAAAAAAAAAAGATATGGACCCTTTAGTAGAATGTTGTTCTAGATATAATGCTTGTTATTTTTCAATATAGATAAAACTAAGAACACCATTGTGCAACACTGATGCCGGTATACTGGTGTAGACATTATCACCTAGCATTGATTTAAAGGTTGTGACGCTGAAAAAATGTAATGCTGTAATGCAAAGCAGAGGTCACCATGTACACTACATTCATTTGCACCTCATTTTACCATGGTGTAAGGAGGCAAGCATCCATGTCTAACGATAAACAGTACCGCTTGGACATAATGGAAATGCATTAAACTGATTTAGTGTTGTACATTGCTGGTTTTGGGGATTTTAAATAGTGCATACAATATAAATATGAATATATCACACGTTTGCAGCCGATCTACAGCTGAACCCTTGCTCTATTTATCAACCAAAGCGTGAAAGCATGTTATGATAATGCCCCTGAGACTGGAACCAGTATCTCTTTCACGCCTAAAGGGGCATTAAACATTCACTCACTTCAAGTCAAAAATTCCATTTCACACTTCCATTCATAACAAAGCTCTTAGATCTGGATAGTTAGTTGATCATGAACATGCGGCATGAGCTAAAGCTAAAGTTCACTGCAATATTTATTTTTCATAGTCATAGTGCTGAGGAGCTCCATCAGATAGCAGTATATTCGTAGTGAAATGAATATACCACTGTCTGATAGAGTTTTTCAGTAGATATGTGGAGTGCAGTATCAGTCCATTACCATTTGAACTGCATTCACACATTGTAAAGTGCAAAATGTGTACAATTTTATCCAAACATTTGGCAAATGTGGAAACACATGGCCCCAGTAATAATGTAAGATTTCTATATTATTATCCTATTATGTATATTTGTATGTATTTATTTATTTATTTATTTATTTATTTATATTTCAGGGTCAAAAAACGGAAGCAGAAAAGTACTTCCTGAAGGCCATTCAGCTCGATCCCACTAAAGGAAACTGCTACATGCATTATGGTAAGCATAACTGTCTATCTTTAAGATTCATTCTAAAAAGTTCTGTTTTAGATACAGAACTGTACAAAAGTCAGAGACCGCTCTTTGTTTAATTTCCAGTCAAAATAGCGGTTAAATAAAAGTTATTCAGTTTTTGCAGGAAATTAAATACAAAATCCACTTGTTTAAGGAAGAGGAAAGTCAAAGAAAAACAAGTGGAAAAGTTTTCAGTGAAAACTGAAGTTCAAAAAAATTAGTTAAAGATACAGAGAAAATGGGATTCTTACCAACTGTGCAAGACCTGGTAGACCACCAAACCTTTCAGATAAACAGTACATTCATCTTTGAGAGAGAGGAGAAAATCAAGCTCCACTCTTCATTCAGACCTGAAAGAAATCCACAGGTGTTTCTGTCCGTCTTTCCACTGTGAGAAGACAGCCCAACACTATGAGTCTGAAAGGATGTGTAGCTGTCAGGAAGCTGTTACTGAGAAAAGGAAATGGACAAAAAGAGCATTTACAAATCAAACAAAGAAGTTGCTGGAATTCTTCAAACAATGCACTGACCACCCCAGAGTCCAGACCGCAGCATCACTGAATATGTTTGGGATTACTGGGATCATGAGAAGCAGAAAATGCAAACAACTTCTTAGACTGAACTTTGGAGGTGTGGAAAAATATCCCTGCAGATTTCTTTAAAAAAGACTGACGGCAAGTCATAAAGGCAAAAGTGTGGACAAACTAAATACTGGAACAATGAAAAAACTGAAAAAAATGAATAGCATGTAGTTAATGGCTGCTTTGACTGGAATTTAAAGAAATGAACAGTGGTCTCTGACTTTATCACGACACTACGTTCTGTTCCTCTGTCTTGTAGGTAGTTGAAAATGTTAATATAGCATAGCGAGATCATACAGAGCCACTGGTTTCTTGCAGAATGAATAATCTTTCTGTCGCTTTAGGCTCATTTTCTTAATAGAAGAGCTGAAATACTGTTGAATATGTCATGCTGCTCTTTAAAGCACCACATTATGGTAATTCTTTGCCTTTAGCTCTTTGTCTGAAGTAAAAATTCTACTAATTGAGGCCGGATTTGTAGACTGTCCTGTAGTTGAATGGTGCTCTGTAGTACATCCATATTCCACCATATCTAAAGATTACCTGGGTTTAAATATTTCTCTAGCAAAACCAAACAATCCATGCATGAGAAGACAGAGACGGGAATAATGAGGGTTTGTTTCTCTAAGGGGGAATGACAACTGTGTGCTCATGTGTGTAGCATGAACATGAGTCAACCAAATGATGCCCAGTAGCCATTTAAATTTTTTTGTCTCAGTTGGAGTTTAAGGCTCTCTTAGCTTGGATTTACAATGATTCCCTTCACCGTATGCCCTCTAAGCTAAGGGTTAAATGAAGGAATGTCACTGATATCATCAAGGCAATAGACTGAAGATTTGCGTGAAACTTTAATGCATCATCTGCTTCGCATTGCTTTTATGTTGGAACCACAATTCTGGTGGGATAGCTTTGGGTGTAGCCTGAATGTATGTTTAAACATCTGTTAAAAATATATTAGAATATACAATATTAACAACTAACACAAGTTTTCATCAGTAGGCTCCTAGTGTACTTTTCTTGCCAACACCTGTGCATCGTTTTCCACAGATTCCTTTCAAATCCCACATTTTCCATAGCTGGTTGGCCTCCAGACGGAGCATTTTCTGGGTATAGACCAGACTATTATCACAGCACTGTTGGCTAACCCCGCTGACATGCTTTCCCACTCTCTAGCTGCCAAAGCATCTGCACAGTGCAGCTTCGTACGTGTCCGATCAGGGATCACTTGGAGCGAACAAAAGACCAATAAATGAACATCACGCATTTCCTTGCATTGTTCTCTGAAAATGCGTATACCACGCTAGAGAACATGACTCATGTTTCTCCCTCTGCTGGTGCACTTTATGCTGAGAGAACTTGCTGGTATTTTATGTGAATGTCATGCTGAGTGAGACATTCCATTTGGAAGTTAATTCAACTTGACCAATTTGACCAATGTTTGCCAACATTCAAAAAAACTGAATAGAATCTGAGAGATTGGCGTCTGTCTCAAGCCATGTTTGTCCTTGAGGTATCCTAGAAACAGTGAAGATAGACTTGTTGCATTCGCACTCCTAGAGGTTCATGTTTCATTCCTAACTATTTGGGGAAAATATGCCTGGTTTGGCGAGACAGTGTGGGAGTGTGGTGCTTACCAAAAGCAACAGAGTATTTATTCCAGTGCAAACCTGGCTCTCAGCATGTGGGGCGCTTCCCAGATCAGCTGCCCCCCCAGCAGTGTTGCTGCGGTCTCTCCAGAGCCAAGTCACTTAACTCCCCACAGCTCTACGGTACTAACCAGCACACATCAGACGATCAGTCCTATCAGGAAATCTTAATCAGACAAATCAACTGTCAGATGGCCAGTGCAGTACAATGTCTTATATTACATGTAACCACCAGGGAGCGGCCAGACCAGTCTAGACTGCCCGTCCCTCTGAGCCAAAAGGAAATGTTTTACAGGAATGAAGTAGAATGTAACTCTCCCTCTATACAGTAGGCCTATATGACGAAGCTTTGTTTTACACTCAGTAGAGAGATTCTGCTCTCAGTCGACTGAATACACATTCTCAGTGTGCTGTTTGAATACACATTAAAGATCACACTATTTTTAGAATTACGCATAAATTTATCACATCACTGTCAACATTTTCCATCTCTCTCCTCTCTCTTTACTGATCTCTTCCTCTCTATTTCTCCGTCTTTCAATTTTCACTTTCACCTGCTCCCTTTTTTTCTCGTGGCTCTCTCGCTTTCTTTCTCCCATTCTTCCTCAATATCTCTTCTATTTCTCTCACTTTTCGTTTTCTCACACTCTCTTCCTCTTTTGCTTCCTCTTTTTCTTTCTTTTCCTCCTCTCTCATTTTCTTGCTTACTCTTTCTCTCCTTACCCTCACTTTTTTCCTCTTACTGTCTCTTCCTCTTTTGTTTCCTCTCTCTCTCTCTGGTTTTCTCCTTCTCTCACGGTCTCATTTTCTTCTTCTCTTTTTCTCTCTCTCCCTCTCCCTCTCCCTCTCTGTCTCGCTCTGGCTCATCTTTCTTTCTCTCAATCTCTCTCTCTCCCTCTTTCTCTTTTTCTCGAGCTCTCGTTTTCATGCTTTATTTCTCTCACTTTTCACTTTTTCTCACACTGTCTCTCGCTCTTTTTTGCTTTTTCTTTTTCTCGGTCTTTTTGCTTTCTCTTGCTTGCTCGCTCTTTTTCTTTTTTACACTCGCATCTCTTTTTCTCTTGCTGTCTCTTGCTCCTTCGTTCCTCTTCTCTCTCTTTCCCTCACTTTGTCATTTTTCCTCCTACTGTCTCCCCCTCTTTCTCTTCTCTCTCTTCTGTTTTTCTCTCACCATCTCCCCCACTCTGTCTCATGTGCTCTCTCTAATGCTCTCCCTGTCTCTCTCATGCTCTGTCTGTCACAGGTCAGTTTTTGCTGGAGGAGTCCAGGCTGTTGGAGGCCGCCGAGATGGCGGAGAAGGCCGCTCAGTTGGACAGTGAGGAGTTTGATGTGGTCTTCAGTGCAGCTCATATGCTCCGGTAAGACCCTCAGCTCAGACTGGCTCTCACAGTACTGGGGGAATGTGTGGAAATCATAAACATAAGCAAGGGAACCCCAGCATTCTTAAGCGCTATCATTTACAGTGCATAGTCACTCGGTTTAGGTGCTTCTGCTTGATGATTCACTGGATATGACATGCACCACTGCACTGTCACCTGCATAATATTTATGCGATTTTACTTACTTATTTGTACTACACGTTATATTTTTATGATTGTTTTAGTATATTATATATCTTTACCTTTTCTGTTTATGCATCCGTATAATAACGTACAGCAATACTTTTGCTCTTGTTTTGCTCTTTACTGTACTTTGTGCTGCTGTAATAGATGACTTTCCCTCCGGGACTAATATAGTGATCTATTCATCTGTCTATCCAAAGCAGCTGAATAACATATTGGGCATCAGAGAACCAGTTCACAAGGCAAAACTCAGCATCCTGTGTTGTCCCCTACCTGGAAGATCACACACACGCCATCTCAAAGACCCTCATTAGTGCTCTAACAGCACCAGTACCCCTGCTGCTCTGCTGTAATAATAATCTCTTCACTGCTGCACAAGCACAAAAACGGTTTCCTGAACAGAAAGCTGTCATACGGTAGAGTCCTACTGATGTGAACAGTTTGTCAGCAATGTTGATGAATTTTAAGAAGCTAAAAATTCTCATGAACGATAGTATAGATATAATTTAATCCCTTAAAATCTACATGGACTACAATGCAAGATGACTGACTTTTTCTTAAGTTGTAGAAGTGCGTACATGTTTGTAATTACCGGTATGACCTACGTGGGAGCCCTTGAATGGTTAAGGGGTTAATATAAAGTTTTTTGGGTTTTTTTTGTTTTTTTTTCTCTCAAATATTTTTATTTTTACCATGATTTTGTGCTGGAGGTGAACAAGGGGTAAGTGTGAGCTTAATGGTCTCTCTAAAGACTGGTTTAAGGTCAAATGGTGAAAAAAGCAGAAAAATGTTTCATGGTTTTGATATGATGACAACAATATGTCTCCAAAAATACTGACTTCAGAGTACACTCAACCCTTTAGTCACTCCATTTTCTTCTCCAAATACATTCTGACTTAACTTTTTCATCCATCATAAAGTGCTGTGGTAGGTTGTCAGTTAATGGTGTACTGTACACGGCTTTGGACCCTGGGCTGTTAATTGCAGTCTCAGGCTCTGCCTCCCGCCGACATGCTGGCATGTGGTCGTGCTCATTTGGAGCTCATGTTCTTTAGATGTTTGTCTTGGAAGGCCGCATGGAAGGATCTCAGCTGGGGGGTGAGTCTGGGAGAGGAGAGGGGTGGGGAGCTAGGGAAGAGGCTTCAAATGTGCAGCTTTTTCTTATTGCTCTCTGGGGCCCTCCTTTTCTGACAAGTTTGCTTCCTCACTATCCGTTTCCTTAGCCCTCTTCAAACAACGGCTAGATTTTGAGACCTCTGCCAGGCGGCGTTAGTGGCACGCTAAGGGAAAGACGCTGGACTGTCGAATCGCACAGGATTGTGTTTTTTTTCCTTATGCTGTGCTGGGTGTGCTTTCTTTTTATTTTGAATTATGCTAATGAGTCCAAAATCCATATGGTGCCCCAGTGTGCTCGGTCAGTGATTTACAGATTTTTGCAGTACATCATGTGATGCATATTAGGCCTCCATAGTGCCATCTTATTGCTAGAAATTAGCATACCTTGCATTATGTTAAAACACCTTGGCAAACCCATGATGTAACATAGATAATGCATTAGACTGCATATTTTTCAGCAGACTTGTTGGTTTGCTACATTACAAATACCGTGATTGATCCAGTCAACCATAGAAAGTAATACAGAACCATCTGATGTTGGTCAGGATGTTCAAAGCACAAAAATGAATGATTTCTGAGTCTCATTTGCATATTGCAGTATTTTGTGATATCAGTATTGCAATAAAAACAATTAAGAATTATATATTGCGCAGTTCTACACTGGATTGTGGCAGAATAAAGGCTGTGACCATGACGTTGTACCTGTGTAGTATAGATGGTCACTGTTGGAACACAACCTCATATCTCCTAAAAGATGGCTTTACAGGAAAAGGAAAAACCATCTTTAACTTCCAGTGGAACAATATCTTATTCCAAGTCAATTTCTATTGGCCCATTCATATTGAAATTTTGACACAGTGTAAAGGCCAACTGGGATTTTTAAATCGTGATAAAATGAAAAAAAATGGAAATATACGTTTTTGCTCCAACAGCAACAATGTGTTATGTTATAGTACAGGGATTCCCAACCTTTCACAACTCATTGCTCATACAAGTGACCACAAAAGCTGCAGCCCACATGATTTAACCAGCCCGATCGTTTCAAATGCAAAATATAAGACCGTAATAATACAGCCTAGAGAATTTCACTGGACTGTATAATCACGCAACATAATACACACCCTAAAAAATGTATCCATAAAAACCCTAAAAAAAAGAGTTTGTAGCTCTTTATCCATGAAGTGAAGCTCAACCTACATATTTACATATTAAAAAAAATTACACATTAAAAACATTGGTTTGGTTAAATGTCTATATTGTAATGATGTCTTGCGGTTTAAAAAAAATAAATAAATAAAAAAAAAACAATGCCCCCTAGCAGACCACCTGTTGAAAACCACTGTTATAGTATATTGCATTATACTGTAGTACAGGACTTGGAGCCATTAACATTAGTGGCTACTCATTAAAATGGAATTTGCTCAGATTCCCACAAGTATGTGTCTTTGATAGCACTAGCTTTGCATGATGGGGAATTTCCTCCAGCACCAAAATTTGAGCCAGTGTTGTAAGTTGTAAGTGACTCACCATGTTAAATATTCAGAGAACAATGTTGCCAATGTTGATGGCACCATTCAGCTTGGTGGACATTGCACCAGCCAAGCTGCATTCTACACTTGTAGAATCTAAGAGAGAAGGAAAAAAAGCTGCTTTTTTAATGTTTTAAGTTCTCCCCAAAACAAGTGATTACTGGAAAAGGAATTTGTATAAAAAACAAAGAAATAGAGACTGAAATGTCATTTGGAAAAAAATTGATTTGGTCAGGAATAGAAGGCAATTTTGAATCAAAGTCTATGGAGAAACATGCTTTCCAGCACCAGGCAAGGTTTATACTGTTTGACCACTAGGGCCAGCCAGGCACACGCATCCAGCCAAACCCTGCCCCCTCTGGCTATGACTGAGAGTAAATATGACAATCCCAATTCACGGAGGTCCACTTATCTACACATGCTAATTCCAATTCATGGAGGTCTGCAAGTACACACACACTGTCTTCATTTTCCTGTCCTTCTGCCTCTAATCGCTCTCAGTGTAATGTTTATCCCAATTATGTGGTTTTGAGAATAAACCTGGTCCCCAGTCAGAAATATTTACTCACATGGTTCCCACTTTCAAGAGAGACCACTTTCCCACTGTTGGTAAAATGGGGTCTCTGGGTCCCCACAAACAATGGCGTGGCAAAGGACCAAAGCCACATTTTATTGTGTGCATGTAAATGTGAAAATTACATGGAATTAGACTCATCATGTAGGCTGAAGGAATTGTAAAAGCGCTTTGTGGATTACACACATGGTTATGGTTAAACACTAAGCCCACGTTAGCAATCACAGAAGATTTCAAGTTTGTTTAGCTCTTATAATTGACAGAAAATTTAGGCTATGACTTAACTTCTCTATTATATGAAAAGGTCAGACCAGTTCAGATTTGTAAGCACAGACACTCATTTCGGTCATTCCATTGCAGTGGACAGCACTGTAATAATGGAGACACAAGACTATAGGGTTGTTCACGTCTTTAAGATTATGCAGCTTTGTAATTTTTGAAAATTGACAGTTATTTTCAGGACATTTCATTGTTTTGTAAAGTTCCAATTTGAGGACACTGCAGATGATTCTTCACAAAGTAAACTGCTGAAACATAGTGACCTATATTTGCAGCTCTTCACTGGCCGGAGGGAGAATGAAGGACAATACAGGGTCCAAAGTTAGCACGCAAAGGTGACGTGTCATCCCGTAAATAAAGCGCTGCCAAGCACTTTTTTGCCCTAACTTTATGAAACTTTTGAAACATTGTCTACTGAGTTCTATCAGCTCCGAACATGAGTCAGTTCCGTATCAGGCATCTCTTAATTTAACTAATGTTTAATGCTTTCACAGGTGTTTAGAAACTGTAAGTGAACTTTTTGTGTTTGTCATGTTAAAGTCTGCTATTTTCTGCTTGTCTCTTTCTATTTTTGCCAAGAATTTCATGCTTTCCCCTCACAAAAAAGACATTTATTACATGTATTCCTTTGTGAAGCATTACTTCAGGAATGTCAGAGACCTTTTGATTTTGCAAAAGGCCAAGCAGCCAAAATGCAGTTACAGGCCTTCTACTTATTTCTTTTTTATTATAATACCTTGGTCAGCTGCAGCCACCAGTCCGTGTTAGTCATATCTCTGCCAGATATAAACTGTTTGCAGTGAGTTTGAGACAGTTATAACCTGCGGGGACATGCAGATGTTAGCTATAACACTAGTTCTGATTTATTTGAAAATTAATACATGCAAGAAAATGTCAGATAAAGCGAAGATGGTCACAAGCTAAGAGAAAGGTGATCTGAGAGGAGTAGGTTTTATATGTGGTGAACATATGGAAAAGACTGCAGCCTCAGCTGGGCTTTTTATTGTAGCATCTGTAGGCGCAGGTCTTCTGGGACGAGCGGAACTGTTTTTCTCTTAGCAAATCACAGTGTAGAGTGAGGTTTCAGTGCTAGTTCTAGAAGATCTCACCAGCTTAGCGGTAGATTATAAGGCACAACCTAAAAAATGGCTGAGGGTACATTTTGTCGTTGTCCAAAAAAACAATGCATCTCCATTTCGATTTTCGTTTTTCTACATCATCTGTGCACAGCACCTGCCCTTTTACACTGTGTGACCATTTTTTGATGAACAGGCCAATAGAAATGTTCCAAAATTACTTGGAATAAAATCTATTTATTTTATCTCACATTAAACATGAAGAAAGTTTTGTCTTCACCTATAAAGTTACCATTTTGGAGTTACTTGTTTTTGTCCCCTGCCTTTCTCTTCAACTGAAGTTCTTGTAACAATTGTGAATACAGTGCTACTGATAGTGTGATGCGAAGCCCTGGTACACAAACAGAAGCCAAGACCCTCTGTTTAATGATGACAACTGGGTAATACATTTGTTTCATGTTTACTGAACTACCGATTGGTGTTTTTCTTGCTCTTTCAGACAAGCCAGCCTGAACGATGCTGCAGAGAAGTACTATGAGCAAGCAGCTAGCCTGAGACCTAATGTGAGTACCAAAACATAGCTCCCTACTGTTCTACATATGAGACATTGCACATTCACACATATGGTGGTTGACTTTAAAGTGATTTGTGAGACTCAACTGCTCCCCATTAGCTTAATCAATGACCAGCTGTGGTCACAATGATGGCAGTCTTGCTGAATTCAGAGTCTGTTTGTTCGACATCATTCACAAACGTTAAAGCAATGGAAAGAGCAGTGCGGTGTACAGAATGTACGGCCGTTTGATTTGTTTGAAATATACAGACTCGCTCAAGGTTCTTTATTGTTTGCATTCGCTGAGTTGATGTGTCTTTTCCAAGAGTTCTTATGTGTGTTGATACTCTGAAGTGTCTGTTTTGTCATCTCAGGAAACTTCAATGTCAATCCTTAGGATTTATGTTGTATGATGTGATTTGGAGACGAAAGTGGGGAAAAAAGAAACATCCAAAGATTGTAAACAAATCTCCTCACAGCTTATGTGCATTTGTTTTATATGAATCCTGCACAAGCAGCGGATACATGGCTTTTTGTTAGAGATGGAATACCATTTAAGCGGTTGAATCTCATAGCCTTGGGTTACCTGCTCGTCTCCACTCTCCAGCTGAGTTTGTCTCTTCGGCAGCTGTTTCTGCAGAGGTCATCTGATCCTCACCACATCTGGAGCTGCTGTTGCCGCTGCATGCCTAGAGGGAGGGAGGAACGGAGAATGGCGGGGAGAGCAGTAGGGGTGGAGAGGGGGATGGAGGAGGAGAAAGTAGGGCTGTTTGAAGCTGTGGCAGAGGTTCTTTCTTTCAAATGTTGCTGTGCAGTCGTACACTCCATCTCTCTGTTTCTGACAGTATCTTGTCTGTAGATGAATGGGCCAGAATTGTGCTAATGATATTTTATGGTGCTGTGCTGTTGAAGTCACTGCCTCCTCCGCACAAATCTAAGCGCTTCTCTAACATCTTCTCCAGCTTACTTTCAGTTTACATCTCTGTTGGCTGGATTGTACCATTTTTATAGACCATAGTTTATTCTTGTGTTTGGACTGAAGAAGCAACTAGCCTTGCACCATGATTTCCCAACCCACAGATGTGCGTGATGGCATTGCAAATGTGTGTGAGACTATGATGAAAATGTCCTTGTCAAATATAATTTAAAATATATTTAATTTACAAGTAAAACATCAAAATGTAACACTATATTGTGACCTCATAAATACAAAAAGTGAGATTATTCCTGTATAAAATTGACTTGCTGAATGGATAATGACATGGTAAACGCTGTGAACATGTGTCCATTTAATGTAGATTATCATAAATAGCTAGCTCGCTAAATCTTTCTTTGTGGCTAAAACTTTTTAATCGTCCTGTGTGTGACAGTTTATGTTTGAATCAGCTTTCTTATCAAAGCATAAAGTCAGCTTTCTTGAAAAGACCTGCAAACTTGACCATTTCATGAAAAAATGTTTCATTTCACATTAATCTTTGTCTCAGGGGATACTTAAAGCAAAAAAATTTAGCTTGAAGGTTCAGTTGACACAGAAATGATCTTGCACAGTTAACCTATCCGTATTTCACAGCAACTGTTGCAATGTTGGACAAGCTTTTTTCAGTATTTTGGCATTAAACCCATTACACTTTATATAAACTTCTGTGCAGAACTCAAATTACTTAAATTTAAAGTCTGGCTTCAGCTTCCAATCATACTTATTGTGTATGCGTGTGAAAGGTCACAGTGTATGGACAGATTGGATGTAGGTTTTCTTTGTAGCAACGAAGCAATCATGCCTCAGCACAGTGGCAAAATTAGCTACAACAACATACCCAACTTGGTAGCATTTGCATTTTAAACTGGAGGTTCATTATTATGTGACTCTAAACAAAGTACATCTCAGTGTCCTCTTAGGTTGAAGGGGGATTTGCCAGCTTTTTGTAAACCTTATCCAGCCTCACAATAGTTTGATACAAAAGAATGCATTTGTTGGTGGAGCATAAGTATGTCAGTTAAGCGTTGATAGCCAACTCCACTGTACTGTACTGGCTGTACTGTAACTGCAGAAGTGGTAATTGTGATTATATTAACAGATATAACTTCATCTCACGCTGCTTTTGGTGAGATATTTGCTCCCACACAGAGAGAGAAGCAGGAAGGCTATTTTCACCCAAGTTGTTGATTCTACTGCTCAGTCATACACATTCTCTGTGAATATGCTCTAATATGAGCTGCTTTGGCCTGTGAGTAGTTAATGCCACAGCTTCAGTTAGTTGGTCCCTAGATCTCATTTTGAGGTTTGACCTCTTAGTGTAGGGTCACATACCGGTGTAATTTATTACTTAATGCACCACCAAAATGACCACCTTCCTCAGTATTTCCATGTCAGAGGCCTGGCAGCTGGCCTAAAATTGTCCGTTAGACTAAGCTTTGAGGTCTAACTCTACTGAGTGTTGGAGAATATACAGCCGTTTTTTTCCCCTCAGAGTCACTAAGTGATGTATGAAGTGGTTCCAGAAAGGAGTTAAGAATTAAATCACAATCACACGTTTGCAATTAAATGTTTTTAACATATTGGAATCACCGTTAGTGGGGAGTTTTGCTCATGCCAGGCTTGCCTTTACTTTGGCTTCAGCCACCATTGCAAATGTGCTTGCTTATGTACGTATAGGGACCTGAGAGGCCCTCTACAGTACACAGAGATTGTGTCACCCACATTTGATTTATTTATCTATTGAAATCCCTTTCTGCTGGAAGAATCACTGCATTCAACATATTGTTCCCATTGAAATCTTCACGCAGTGGACATCATTCATCGGACCTTGACACAAGAAAAACAGATCATGCTTGTCCGCATAGATGGACTCTGGAATAACAGAGCGTCTCAGGCAGAATTTATGTACCAAAATGTTTATGACATTAGCCACCTCAGTGGGAAGCCTGTGGTTGTGTTTAACAATAAACGAGAGAATAATAGGATAACTTTGAAGTTAGTCCTCAGATGTCCTTTCTAAGGCCTAGAACCAATCCACTGTCGGTTTTAAGACAGTTCTATTTTTTTGTTTCTCCTTCAGTACCCTGCAGCCTTGATGAACCTTGGAGCCATCCTTCACCTGAATGGAAAGCTCCAGGAGGCTGAGGCCAATTACCTGCGAGCTCTGCAACTCAAACCTGATGACACCATCACCCAGTCCAACCTGCGCAAGCTGTGGAACATCATGGAGAAGCAGGGCCTGAGGACCATGGCCCCCTGACTCAAACACACTCTAACTCACTGATGAGCTTCTGGACATGGAGCTCACAGTAAGCAGTGCCCTCACCACTGAGGTAGTCCATAGCTGGACAGGTCGCCAAGAGCTAATGTCACCATAGTCACAATTTGAGACTTTTTACCTCATGTGTGGAGTCACATTTGGTACATTTAAGAACTTTTTTGAGAACTTTAGAACTTCAAGAACTTGCCCTGCGCAAAGGTCTCAACTTGAAGTGGACCATCGGTACATACTTGAAGTCTCTTGATACCTTAGATATTAATTAGTCAATTGATGCTTAATGGTCTTTGCAGGGCAATATTTGTCCTGAAATTAGAAGGAAATGAAAGTATCAAGGAATACCGCAAAGTTGTGTTCTAGAGCTGAATGGGAGCATCAGTGAATTGTTTCATGATTAGATTCATTGATCTTTAAGGAAGCCTTCTTGATTTCTTTACATATAGGAAATCATGTCCATTTGATTCCATTCACCTAATGAACAAAAGAAAAAATTGCCATCTCTAAAGATGTGCCATTTTTTTATGTCCGATCAAGTTTTAACAGAGCACATAAATTCATCAGATGTCATTTCACACAATGATTAATCACTTTTAAAGTGTTTTTTTTTGTTTTCAATTCATGACGTATAAGACTTAGCTCTGAAGTCAACAGATAAGGATTGGTTTCTAGACTATGCTAAATAAAGTTCTTATAATGAAGTTAAGCTGTTTTTATAGCATTTTAGTCAAGTCAATTTTATGCTCAACCTATGTAACTAAGGCACAATATTAGATCCAATGTAGCTTTCACTATTTGGATGGTATTCAGCTTGAAAACAGATGTGGTTGAAGTATTTTGCCAAAAAAAAAAGATGTAAATCTTGAAAGTCCAATAAGCTACAGGTAGCTTGAAGGAAATTTGGTGAATGACTTGTAAGATTTGTTTTTGCCTTACTTTCTCAAAATGCAAAACTTGTACTGTAGCACAAGGGGAAAAAAAAAAAAAAAAACACTCAGACGGTTTCTTTGCTTATTTAAGGAATATGGTCTGTGACTGACCCAGAGCTAAAGCATTCTCACATCTCTTTGTTTAGGAAGGTATTAGCAGTTGCACATACTGTGTAGAAGTGGTATAGAAGGGATGTTAACAAATCTGTTGATTTGTTTATGACCTGGATGTTGTGCTCATAGTTCGGATTTAGACCCAGTTGTTATTTATGGGCCTTGAAAGTTATTAAAGTGGTACTTTACTATTTCAGCTCAAAGGTTTATAGAACCCACACATGTACTGAAGCTTGCAGTCTGCTTTTCTGTGCCCTGTAATTAACATGAGGTATGACCTCAGTTTAGGGTGATCAAGGATTTCGGAATACGTGGAAACTTTTGATTTGCTTACTAAGACTTAGACATGATTTTAAAAGGTTATTTGGTATTTTGTTTATGTTATTGTTATTTAGTGATTTCTGAATGATTCAGTCTTTGGTGCTTTGTGGAGATAAACTCCAGTATTCCTGAATTCAAGGAAGTTTGTGGATTTTAGGGAATTAATAGGTCTAAATATTCCAGGAAGTTTCCTCAATTGAAAGAATAAAATAAAGAAAATAGACTATTACAGTACAACAGTTTCACTGCTTTTATGTTGTATTGGGTAAAGATGTTTAGAGAGATTAAGAGTTTGAAGAAGTCTTGAGTTTTAAACCCCTGGCGTCATCTAAAACCCATGCATAACAAAGCTGACATCGTCTGTTCTCTTTTGGGGAGAACTGTATGAAATGCCCAGTGACTGTTCTCCTCTGTCTGTTCTGCTGAACATTTGCAGCTTTTCCTGACGCCCTCCACCAAGTTCCATAGCACAACCGTAGCTGATCTAGACAACTTTGGAATCATGACTAGTAAATTATCACTTTAAATGCAAAGCTTTGACAGTCTCCTAACCAAAAATAAAACACGTTGCACTCATCTAACAATGCGCAGCCATAGGTTTTGTAAAGAATTGTTTAAATGTCATTTTGGGTTTTTTTCACAGCAGTTTTTTGTATTGCTTATACAGAATTTAAGTGTATAAATGAAACCTAATATATAAAACGGGATGTATCGTATAGTACAAAAGACTAGTTGTATTGCTCAAATGCAAATTTGCAAAACAAGTTGAGCCAGAAATCACAACATTTTAACTGTACTAAGGCATCGTTTGTTCAGTCTTCTCTTCCTATCTGTTCATCTTTTGTCTTTATTTGGTTTTTGATTCAGGTTTTCATATTTGTACATATTGTGCGAGAATATATTACATGTAATTAACTTTTATGTACTGTAGTCAAGCCTACCACTCACATTCGTTATATTATTTCAAGTCATGAAGAACATTTAGATGATTTTTTTTATTTTCTTTTTTTGATATATATTTTTTTTTTCTTGAGAAGTATTTCTCACATATGAAGGGCCTATTGTTGGATGTTTAGCTGATTTTAATTCCTTAATTTATTTCTGTTTGTGTTGTCTTGGAAAAAAAAAAAAATAAACCAGCTGGCACTGTGTTGTATGTCAACCATGCACTTCGGACTATTTCATCCATTCTTTGTATCAGAGCTTACAGTTGCTATGATGAGGAATACTGAAGAGAGAGAAACATACTTTTCACAGTGAATTCTTTGCTAAAGAGGTGTCAGAATAGGCTATTCTAACTGCTCTTATCATGCCTCCATAGATTCTACACCTAAGTTTTAGTAAAAATATTCTAGAGTAATGAAACAGGTCATATTGACATTGGTATATTGTTATAAATCAAGCATTGATTTGAAGAAATATCAGGATCTCTGAATGAAAAAAATTGACTTGTCCATGTTTTAAACTTAGCAGAGTAAGATATATATTACTGCACAACTACAGTTCCTTCACTAAGAGCTTTATGGATGTCCCTGTAGTTCTGCTGACCATGGCTCTTCTCCACAAAGCACAGTGCTCACTCTGTTGTGTCCAGGTGAGTTTGATAGGTTTAATTGCTGTGACTGTGTCCAGACCGTGCCGTGCGTAGCTGTACTCACCATGCGTGTCCGTGTGAAATATTCAGTGCATCCCCAACCCTCACCCCTCTGTTAGCATGTCTCCTTACCCGCGCAGAATGACAGACACAAAGCGAGCACCATTAGACATGAGTGTTGCGTGTTTTGTCTTTCCTCAGGGATTTCAAGCGGTGGGGTCATTGCAGAACAGTGCTCTGAGCTGAGCGCTGAGAGTTTACTAAATTAAGAAAGTTTTATTTTTTTGAAACGGTGTTGTATTTGTATAAATTATCGATTTGTAACCTTTCTTTCTTCCCTTTTTGTAATATTCAAATGAAGTATGTGCCAGATTGGACTTTTCCTGATGTCACGCTTTTCCATAATAAAGTACTGGTGTCTTGCTTTTCTTTCTCCAGACTGATCATTTCAGCTACAAAATTCTAGAAGGGTCCCTGTTGCCTTTTACTTTTTATTCAGTGCCTTGTTTTTATGTTATTGGCGAGGAAATCTATTGCATCAGTAATGTTTGAGACATTACTAGCTGGGGTCATGTGAATCGTACCAAAAAAAAAAACAGCTTTCAAACAGCTTTTACAGCTATAAATCATTAAAACAACTTTGGGAGTTTGCCTTAAGGTTTCTATGGAAACTGGAGTGTCTCCTGTGCAGTGCGTTTGAAATGGGTGTGCCAGAAATATTCAAGATATTATCAGAAACATGCAGCAAAATACAGTGCTGTGCAAAAGTCAGAGACCACCCTTCACAATCCACTTGCATAAGGAAGGGAAAAGCAAAGAAAAACAAGTGAAAAAGTTTCTAAAAGTGGAGTTATTCAGAGATATAGAGGAAGATATACCTGGTAGACCACCAGAACTGTCACCATCAGATAAAGAGTACTTTTGTCTTTGAGATCAAGCTCCACTCTTACTTTAAAACTGAAAAAATCCACAGGAGTTTCTGTCCATCCTTCCACTGTGAGAAGACACTCAACACCATGAGTCTGAAAGGATGTGTAGCTGTTAAGAAGCTGTTACTAAGAAAAGGAAAGAACATTTGCAAATCAACCAAAGAAGCTTTTGGAAACAAGTTCAACTTCACTGAATTTGTTTGGGAGCACTTGGATTGTGAGAAACAGAAAATACAACCAACTTCTAAGACTGAACTTCGGAGGTGTGGAAAAATATCCCTGCAGTATTCTTTGAAAAACTAAAGGAAACCTCCAGAAAAGAATGGATGCTGCAGTAAAGGCAAAGTGTGGAGACACTAAATACTGAAACAAACTATATTTACTTGTTGAGGCTTCTGTGCCATTTTCTCTTTCCTGATTTTTTCCTGACACTGCGAAATGAATAGATACTCATAAATAGCTGTTTTGATTAGAAATGAAATAAATGAAGGGTGCTCTCTGACTTTAGCACAGTATTGTATAAAATATATACTATCCAAGATTCCGTTTGTCAGCCCTGTGATAGTATCAGTGTTTTCAGAGTAGCAGTCTTTATTAGATGTCAAAGTCCTTCTTGCAAATTTGTTAAATTGTGTCATAAACTGTGCTCAAAGTGATATCTGCTGCTTTTGTCTTGCTGCAAAGTATGTCATGTAAATATTCCCAGATGTAAGGATAGCTTTCAACATCTACATCTGGGACATGTGCTGCACCCCTCCTCGACACACACGTACACACTCTACCCTGCTGAAAAGCAGAAGCCCTCCTCTCTGAGTGCTGGAGGCTGAGCCGTGTGATGTTCCTCACATGTTCTTCTCTGTTCTTTCTCATGACTGATCATGCTACGAGGTCATGTTGATTTAAAATGTGTGAGGCATTTGTCTGTTGATCTGCTGCATGTGTTTCATCTAGTTTTCAAAACACAGTCTAGGCGCTTTACAGATGACAGTCAAGCTCATCTGAAAACAAGTTTAAAACATAATTAAAAAGGTGTAATTCTCAGTCTGAGAGCTATACCAATACCCTACACTATACAAATAAGAGTCCTTGGGCAAGACTCCAAACACTGCCTTCACCTTCCTATGTTAAAAATGATCAAATTCTAAATCACTCTGGATAAGAGTGTCTGCCAAATGCTAGAAATGTAATGTAAATAAAAGATTTTTTATACACCATTTGAAAATGCCAGTTGACTATTAAAAGCTGAAATGAACATTTCATGATGCAATGGACCAATAAAAATGGTCCAAAATTACTTGGAATAAAATCTTACATTAACATACATTAAAGTTAAGAGTGTATTTTGTTCCTCCTATAAAGTTACCGTTGCAATCTACACCGTGGCATTTGCTGTGGTGTGTACATTGGGTGACTTAAGTTTCTCAACTGTCTTGTAACCTTCATCCTATATGAAATGAGGTTGGTGCAAGTAGGAAATTAAATGCCAATATTAATGGCCTGGAAACTGGAGAGCTGGTTTTGTAACTGCCGTTCATCTGTTCTGCAGTTGGGCCTTCTTGATGATCCAATTTAACTACACATTATCATGTTGTACATGACTTACAGTGGTAAAAGTTTCATTGACATGACATGCATGAGGTTGCTCATAGTAAACTTGGGCTTGTGTGCAGCTGCTCAGCCCTGGTAACTTATTTCATGGAACATCCAATGCACAGTT